ATCATGCTTTTTCCCTGTCTTTTCTTTTTGGCCTTGTTTTTTACCTGCAAGACAAGGAGAAAGAGAGCAATCAGTCAGCACTTGGAATCAAGCTTCCAGCCAGGAACTGACTGCCTGGAACCCCTTACCTGATTACTTACCTGGCATTGCTCTCGAGTACTCATCTTCAACATCTTATGTTTCCAGGGAAGATTCCGCATCTGCTTGAGGAACAGATAGGGCAAGTGCGAAGGATACAAGGAAGCATGTGGAGACAAGCGTAACAGCACACGTGCCGATACATTCATTACTCTGTCAAAAGCAAAAGTATCCCATATCAGCAGGGTGGAACGTACTCTAGATTTGATGGACTTGTTTTGACCCTCAAATTCTTCAGTCGGCCTTATACTCTGGAGGAAACCAGAAAACCCTCCAGCTCAGTTCAAGAATAAGCCTGTGGAAAGTTACTTCTTCAAAAGCAAAAGTATCTTATATCATCTCTTCTCATTTTTCTTCTCTTTATCCTTTATGCTGCTGCAAGATGGGGAGAAGGTGAACAATCAGTCGGAGCTCTGATTGCTTACCTTGTCTGTCACCTCTTTCAGCAGAGCCCCTAGCTCGGCGACTTGGGGGACTCCTACTACATGGTTTGTATCGCGCTTGACCAAGCCTGAAACTACAAGTAAGCTTCAAGTGAAATTGATACATTACCTTGTGCATCTCCACCAGTTAAAGATACCACCCCTGGATGGAGGAAGAGTACTTCCAGAGAAGATGCCACATCTACCTATGAGACAGATAAGGCAAGTCAAGACGACACCACACTCCGATACTTAGAAGTTTCGTGATTACGAGATCATTCTCCCACAATATTTCCTAATGTCATTTGTACTAAATCATTCACTTGTACTCACTAAATGAGAGCTTGAACCTATGTACTTGTGTAAACCCTTCACAATTAATGAGAACTCTTCTATTCCGTGGACGTAGCCAATCTGGGTGAACCACGTACATCTTGTGTTTGCTTTCCTATCTCTATCCATTTATATACTTATCCACACTAATGACCGGAGCAATCTAGCGAAGCTCACAAAAAGCGATCGTTTTCGCTACCTAGGATCTATCTTGCAAGAGAACGGAGAATTAGATGGAGATCTCAACCATAGAATACGAGCTGGATGGAAAGAGTGCATCCGGCGTGTTGTGTGACCGTCGTAGGCCACTGAAGCTCAAGGGAAAATTTTATAGGACGGCAATAAGGCTAGCGATGTTGTATGGCACAGAATGTTGGGTGGTGAAGCATCAACACGTACACAAAATGGGTGTAGCGGAGATGAGGATGCTTCGTGGGATGTGTGGGCACACGAGAAAGGATAAGATTGGGAATGAGGATATCCGAGGTAAAGTAGGAGTAGCCGAAATTGTAGGAAATATGAGAGAAAATCGGCTCCGGTGATTTTGAACATGTGCAAAGAAGGCCGACTGACGCTCCGGTTCGAAGATGTGACTACGGGACAGAGGTTCAGGGCCGAAGGGGTAGAGGAAGACCTAGGACAACTTTGGAAGAGACTCTAGGAAAAGACGTAGAGTACTTGGATCTAACGGAGGACATGACACAAAACCGAGCGCAATGGCGTTCTAGGATTCATATAGCCGACCCCACTTAGTGGGAAAAGGCTTTGTTGTTGTTGTTGTTGTTGTAAAGTTGAACATAACCAATATCTGACAAAAACTAATCGCACGATGTACGATGAACAAACACGATGAAGTAATCCATGAGATCCTCACAAAGATCCTCATCCCTAATTTGCTACCTAGTCAACTCAATTCATGATAAAAACTAAATGAATGGGGCGGATAAATGAACTGTCTGAACTCAATTGGAAGAATGCCTTGAAAATTGAAATCCCATGTTCTTGACTAAACAGTTGGAGAAATTCTTTGTTTCGAACACTTGCACCACGCTAGTCATCCGATTAACAGAAATGCCATTTGTGTGATCTCACCCGATCTTGCATTTTTTTCTACCTCTTGAATTTGTTGCTGTATTAGTCATTTGATTAACAAAAACACTATTTGTGTGGTCTCACCCTATCTCGGTTTTTTGTTTCTACCTCTTAAATTTGTTGCTTAATACAAACGTCCACACACAAATTCACTTCCAAATAGTTAGACCATCTCCAAACGAATGATCCAGAAGGCCGAAAAACGCCCAAAAATCGTCTCCAACTGAGGGTTAAGTCAGAGGACTCGTGGGCCCCACGAAATTTAAAAGGGCCAAAGGGCTTTCCTAATCCAGCCAACTAGCCAACCTCATGCTGACCAAAAATCTCACCAATCCTGTCGGATATAATCGATAAGAATATATATGTCGGTTATATCTGACATGAATTATAAGCCAAATTTCAAATGCAATGGCTAGCTGACGTCAGCTAGCCGTTAGTTACCATTGGATTTTTTTTTTTGGGCCAAATTTTTTTTTTAAATTCTTAAAAATTCTCATTTTTTTTTCCTATAAATACCTAAGCCATTCATTCACCATTCTTCACAAATTTTTCACCATTTCAATTCTCATATTTTCTTACCTCTTTCAAAAATATTTTCTTCAATTCTTTCAATAATTTTTAAATGGCCTTATCTGCAATGAAAGGTAGGGTTTGGACCCGAAAAGAAGATGAAGCTATTTGCAGGGCTTAGAGATGGGTGTCGGAAGATAGTGTGAGGGGGAGTTCTCAAACAAGTGAAGGTGTTTGGACTCGTGTGTCCAAAAATACTTAGATTTCTATGAAGGCACCACTCCACTGAATATCCGAAACCATGAGAGTTGTTCTTCAAGATGGAAGAAACATCTTCACCCAAGTTTGAACAAATGATATCAAGCATTGTTAGCAGCTGCAAGTAGACATGAAAGCAGCGCTAACTACTACAACAAAGTAAGTGTTTTCACAATTTATTTTAAATATTTAATTATATTACATTTAATTTCATGAATTACTTTCCTTTAATTTTTGTAAATACATTTAATTATATTACATTTATTTTCATAAATTAATTTCCTTGAATTTTTGTAATTATATTTTCTAGGTACGCCAAGCGGAGGAATTGTATATGGAGGGTAGCTTGAAACCCTTTCAGTTTCACGGTTGTTCGGAAATTTCTAAAGATTGGGTGTTATTTGAAGATCACCTCAACATAGAGTAGCTCATACATTGGTGTTCAGAACTGCATCCTCAGCTGCAAATATGGATGAAGATGGATCTCCTACCATTCAACAAATAAGGGTAGAAAATCCCTCTTTGGGTGAAGGTTCCATACCTAGGGCTATGAGACAAAACAAGGCCCGAAGGTTGAAGGAAAATGGTAAGGCAAATGATGATTACGCCGCTCAAAAGGAAGTGGCAGCCTCATTGCAATTAATGGTGGAGCAAAATGTCATTGCCGTGGAAGAAAGGAACCGTAGGCATGAAGAACGGGCCAAACAAATACAAGAAGAGATGGATGATAATAATATGGAAAAGAACACTTCAAATTACACTACAATGAGTAAGCCCTATTTTGATAAAAAAAAAAAAGATATTATAACCCGGCGGCAATTGTTTACCTCTGATTATACTCCTACAATGGCGGATGATGAAGATAATGTTGATTATGGATATTAAATTTAAGTTGTTGTAGTTTTAAATTTAAGTTAATATTTTTTTTAAATTTAATTTGTAGTTTTTAAATATAAATTGTTGTTGCTTTCAAATTTAGTTGTTATAGTTTTTAAATTTAAATAATAAATTATGTGTGGCCCTATGGCCTTCGGTTGGAGACAATTTTTTTGTGATAGGGCTAAAACGAGCCCTATAGCCCTTTGGTTATCGGTTGGAGATGGAGACAAATATGATTATCTATTGTTCATTAAAATATTAATATCTTGGAGGACTAGAGGACTAAAACGAGCCATTTGACCCTCGTTCGGTTGGAGATGGTCTTACACCATAAGTTTGCAGGAGGGTGTTCACAAAAAAACAGATTGTTTTCTAAATGTTAAAAATACAAGAGGTGCTTTTGGTACTTTGCTGAGTGTTTGGCTGCCAACATAAGTGCGTTTAGGACCAGAAAATCATTGCCAACATAAGTGCTTTTAGGACCAGAATATCATAATTACAAGACATTGCAAGCTCCATAATTCTTTATCGATTAAACATTGTTAAGTAAAATTCCACAAATGTGAAAAATGTGGGATAATGGAGATCAAAATTTCTCTTGTTTTTGTGGAAAAAGAAAAGAAACAAAGTAATTGACTATTGAGACGGAAATGGGCCCCGCAACCAATACGTGTTTAAGAACTTCATACTTTTCAAAGACGGATGATGGCTCATGGCAATGCCTATGTTATTGACTTTTCCAATCTTGAATTAATTTTCTTCTTTTTTTTTCCATATGTTTTTTTAGGGCTAATTACATTTTCCATCCGTCCCGTCAGATTTAAAAAGATTTTCAAAATTTAATTCTTTCGCATTAAAGTTTTGAAATTGTATCAATTTACAATTTTTGTTCTTTTGAATATATAATCTCTATCAATTTACATTTTAATATTTTATGGTGTAAAATGAGAAAATATGCAAATAACCCAGAATTCCAAAGACCCCATTTAGCTTCTTACACATTTATTTATTTATTTTTAGTCATCAAATTGAATTAATTAAACGTAAAAAAACTTAATAAGTGTGTAAGAGAAGCTAAAAATGATGAATTACCACATGATTGCTTAGTGGTTGAGAACGAATTACAAGCCCGTATTTTACAAAGCACGTCCTGAATTAGATTCCTGGAAGCGGTGAATCACAGGATGATGGTCGGGGAAGGCTAAAATGTTTTTTCGGCCTCTGAAAAGAATGGACTGCAATGACAAAACCACCAGCTAATTTTTTATTTTTTTTCAGAAAAAAAAAGGCAGAAAAGGATGTCGTTTAAACTTCAATTTTGATTATATTTTCTTTGGGTCCACAGTTTTGATGCTACTTCAGTCAACGATTGCTGAAGCTGCCTTGCCGAGCTGAATGTGAAAGCTCCATAAGGATCAAAGCAAAAGACCCAGAAAGAAAAGATGATTTCTTTTTTTAATTTTCCCACTTTATCTTTTGCTGCTATAAAAATTTACCTCAGAAATTAAGGAACGGGTCTTTTGTGTTTTTTTCAATCAGGCCCTTCAAAGAAAGAGTCAAGAGTGGGGGAAAGTGGGAGTCTTCAGTCTCCCCACAAGCTTAAAAGACGACTTATTTCTCAGATTACAACTTTCCAAATTACCCAAAAGAGATAAAAAGAGAAAGGAAATCCCTTTTATTCCTCTACTTTTGAAATATTCTGTGTATTTTTGACAGGGTTTCTTGGGTGCGTATCCCTGGAAAATTGTGGGGAGAAGAGTGATGGTGCTGTGAGTTTTGGTGGGCATGAGCTTTTTCTCAGGTATGTCTCTTGAACTTTATCTTCTTCAATCAGTGAAGACTTTTGTGTTGACTAAATGGGGTCTTTGGAATTCTGGGTTATTTGCATATTTGATGTTTAATGGGGGTCCTTCTGGATTGCAATTCGAGCCCAAAATTGAAGAGAGAAGGTGGAAAAGGAAGCATTATTAATTTCAGATTTTTGAATTAGGACCAGAATTTACTAGTATTTGTGCTTTCTAATTCTCTGTGTTGCAAATGCATGATATTTGTCGCTAGGGTATGCCAGAAGTAATTGTTTTCGGGTTCGCTAGTCGTTTCTTCTGGGATTGTAGTGTCTAGGATAGTTCTGTTAATTCCGTTGTTGAGCGAAATAGGAAAAGAAGAACTAGTTTCGGTAAATTACAAAATTTTCAAGATTTTTTTAATGAAACAAGGGACCTATACTTCATTAGAGCCAATAAAGATTTATAAACGAGCTTACCGTCCGTCATTTAATTGTTGATAAACTAACCAAAACGACCTTTCTTTTGTTCGCTGAGGAAACGGAAGGGGTAGTGAAGAAACTGGCAGTTCTAGTGTTACTTCATGTTGTTTTGATTTCTGAAAAATGGGTAATTGAAGACTAGTGAGTAGATTCGGGACATTGAGCAGAAGCGGAACCCTCAATGTGTCGAATTAAAGAGAATACAAGACTTAATTCTCAGCAACCAAACAGAAAATTTATAAGCAGTTTTCAGTTTCGTGTGATTTTTATTTGGTGCTCTTAATGCAGAGTTGGTCCATATGTATATGAGGGAATACATTCAAGTGTAATCATTCTAGTGTAGCATTACTAAAACTAAGAAAATACTGTGATATTTCAGATTGAAAGGTATATAGAGAAAAATGGAAGGTAAAGCAGGCATGAAAACTATTTCGGATCAGAAGCTCGAGGTTGTTGTCCTGCAAGGCTTCTGCTTTTTTTGTCAGTTGTGCAATCAAATGGAAATTGAGGATCTCACTTCCTAGTGTTGGTGAGTTTCAAAATGTTGGCTGTAGACTTGGTTTCAAATGCTGCATCTGCTCCGGCTTCAGAAATCATTTCTCAAATAGTGGAGGCCATTTTAGAAATTTCAGCTGCTGCCGGGGATGTCCTTGTTAAGAAGGAAACGTTTAAAGAGCTTTCAACTTATCTGGAAAGGATAGTCCCCATCTTAAAGGAGTTGAACAAGAAAGCTGTTCTTCATTCTGAGAGCTTAAGCAATGTTATGGCCATTCTTAACCGAGAAATCAGAGGTGCAAAGCAACTGACACTTGAGTGCAGGAAGAGAAACAAAGTGTATCTCTTAATGCATTGCCGAACAATAGTTAAGCGCCTAGGAGACACTATGAAAGAGATCAGTCGGGCTTTAGGTCTTCTTCCCCTGACTTCACTAGATCTTTCATCTGGCATAGTTGAAGAAATTGAAAAGCTTTGTGATAATATGCAGCGAGCTGAGTTCAGGGCAGCAATAGCAGAAGAAGAGATTTTGGACAAAATTGAGTCTGGAATCCAGGAGAGAAACGTTGATCGTGCTTATGCAAATAACTTGGTGGTTCTCATAGCAGGGGCAATCGGAATCTCAACTGAGAGGTCAGTCTTCAAGAAGGAATTAGAGGAATTCAGGAATGAGATAGAAAATGCTCGGCTGAGGAAAGACCAGGCTGAAGCTATACAGATGGAACAGATAATTGCTTTATTAGAAGGGGCTGATGCAGCTTCATCTTCTAAGGAGAAAGAAATGAAATATATGATTAAGCGGAATTCTTTAGGGTCTCAACCATTGGAACCACTTCAATCATTTTGTTGTCCAATCACCAGGGATGTTATGATAGACCCTGTGGAAACTTCTTCTGGACAGACATTTGAGAGAAGTGCTATAGAGAAGTGGTTTGCTGATGGGAACAAATCATGCCCCATGACCATGACTTCTTTGGACAGATCAATTTTGCGGCCCAATAAAACTCTCCGACAATCCATAGAAGAATGGAAGGATAGAAATACGATGATTATGATTGGTTCCTTGAAATCAAAACTCCAATCTGAAGAAGAAGAAGAAGTGCTTGATTGCCTGGGTGATTTACTAGATCTCTGTAAACAAAGAGAATTGCATAAGGAATGGATCATACTGGAGAACTACATACCTATTCTCATTCAACTTCTTGCTGTTAAAACTCCTGAGATAAGGAACAATGCTCTTCTCATCCTTTGCATTTTGGTGAAGGATAGTGATGATGCGAAGGTAATACTTTGTTTACTGTAACTACATCGTGTACTCTTCTCTCTCTCTCTCTCCCCCTCTCTCTCTGCTGTGATATTCTTTTGATGAACAATGTTGTTCTTCATTTTCCTACACATTTGATTTTCTTAAATCCTTCCTGTATGGCTAACTTTGAAAATATTGTTGCAGGAAAGAATTGCCATAGTTGATAATGGCATTGAATCTATTGTTCGTTCACTTGGGCGCCGTGTTGAGGAAAGGAAGTTAGCAGTTGCATTACTTTTGGAGTTATCAAAAAGTAATTTGATAAGAGAATGCATTGGGAAGGTTCAAGGCTGCATACTCCTATTAGTTACCATGTCCAACAGTGATGATAATCGGGCAGCCAGAGATGCACAAGAGCTACTGGAGAATCTGTCATTCTCTGATGAGAATGTTATACAGATGGCGAAGGCAAACTATTTTAAACATTTGCTGCAGCGTCTCACTACAGGTTCTCTTATATTCTTTCATCTTGATTTCTCATAAATGCCTTATACAGGACCTTTTCTTTGTTTTCTGGTTGTACACTCATAAAGACTGTAAAATACCAAAATAGATATTTTGAAGCTAAAGTTGCAACCTTTAGTCAACCTACAATTACGAGGTTCAATTTTCAATTTTTTATTTTTTATTTTTTGCAACCTTTAGTAATATATCTAACTGGTACCTTCTGATTTTTCATATTGTTTGTAGTCACAAGTTTAGCAATTTAAATTTTATCAGTACAATTTATTCTTTTGCAATCTGTTTTTTCACCAAATCCAATTGAATTCCATTAGTTTACATTTTTGCATACTTGGATATGATTATGTAAAATTCAATTTATACATTAATATGTCTTTTAGTTTAGTTTATGAAAGCTTAAACGTGTTCTATCTATTGTATGTTTATACTTAAGATAGCCTTAGGTATGCAATGGATTTTCAGTTTGTATTTGGCACATTTTATGTGTCTTAAGGGTTCATCTATTGAGTAAAGAAAGTTATTTGCTATAACTTTTGTATTTCTTTTATTCAGGACCGGAGGATGTAAAAACAGTCATGGCATCAAATTTGGCGGAGATGGAGTTGACCGACCACAATAAAGAATCTTTGGTTGAAGGAGGAGTAATGAGTCCGCTTCTTTACATGGTCTCACATGGTGACATTCCAATTAAAATGGTGGCTGTTAGAGCTCTTAGAAACCTCTCAAGCTTACCTAAAAATGGTCTACAGATGATTCGAGAAGGTGCAGAACGCCCATTACTTGACCTTCTTTTCAATCTTCGTCCGTCATCATCAAGTTTGCGTGAATATATAGCAGCCACGATTATGCAACTCTCCATGTCAATGGCGTCTCAAGAATCCAACCAGACACCCGTTTCATTTTTGGAATCAGATGAAGATATTGTCAAGCTTTTCTCTTTGATTAGCTTGATGGGGCCTAATGTACAGCAAAGCATCATTCGGACCTTCCACACCTTATGTCAATCCCCCTCTGCTACAAGTATCAAGAGCAAGTTGATGCAGGTGTGCATCTTATTTTACAAGAGATTTTAATTTCAATAAAAATTGCTTTCCTGCACACACAAATCTACTATTAGAATATTAACAGGATTTAGAGGTTCGAATATAAATGTGGCTAGTCTCATAAGAACTTGGGAGGTAGGCGAAGGTTCAAAGGGATATCAACTGAAATTATATGAAGTGAAGCTTCAACTGACAGGCCTTTTTCTTTCCTTCTAAGAAAATGCAATGGGATTTATTATGTTTTGCAATTAGTAGTCATCTTCACTCAACTTTCCTCCATTACCCTCTTGCGCTAACAACTGGGGTAGTGCATGCACAATTTGGATTTGTGACGCACATCCAAATTCCCATACAAATAATTTATGCAAAAAGAAATAGAAATTAATTGAAGCTTTATTAAGAGAAGGTTGTATTTATAGAATTTATTGATATATTTTGAGTTATCGTCTCCTTTATGGATATACCATGTTCTTCTGGGTTGATTGAAATGTGAAGTTAGAAAATGTTAAATCAGAGGTAGCCTTTCATTGAATTTCAGAGTTTAATTCCCAGTTCTTTTTCTACAGTTTATCTCATAACCTGATATAATAACATCTTTACCAGATGCTAACTTGATTTAATCTGCTTCTGCTGGACAAGCGTTGTATAAGATTTCACTGATTTTGTTACTTTTACAGTCCTCGGTTTTACAAGTATTGGTTCAGTTGTGCGAGAATGATGACCTAAACCTACGAGCAAATGCTGTAAAGCTGTTCTCTTGCTTAGTAGAACGCGGCAGTGAAGTCACCACTATCCTGGAGCATGTGAATCAGAAGTGCATTGAGACTATATTCAAGATCATCAAAACTTCTGATGACGAAGAAGAGATTGCTTCTGCAATGGGCATTATCTCTAACATTCCGGAAAACCCCGAGATCACACAGTGGCTTATGGATGATGGGGCACTACCTGTCATACTCAATTTTCTCCAGAATGGTTCCCATAGAAATCAGTTGATAGAGAATGCGGTCGGAGCCATTTGTCGTTTCACTGCTCCAACAAACTTGGAATGGCAAAAGAGTGCAGCTGAAGCTGGCATTATCCCATTGTTCGTACAATTGCTGGAGTCTGGAACCTCATTGACAAAGGAACGTGCAGCCATATCTCTTTCTCTATTTTCAAAGAGTTCACCACAGTTGAGCAGGTCTTCACCTAACCGCAAAGGATTCTGCTGCTTCTCGGCCCCACCAGAAACCAGATGCCCTGTTCATGGTGGAATCTGTGGCATTGTTTCATCATTTTGCCTTGTGGAGGCTGGTGCAGTGGGCCCACTGGTTAGGATTCTTGGGGAACCTGATCCTGGAGCTTGTGAGGCTTCTTTAGATGCACTATTAACTTTAATCGAAGGTGAGAGACTGCAGATGGGTAGTAAGGTGCTCACAGATGCGAATGCCATCCCACCTATAATAAAATTTCTTGTTCAACCATACCCTAGTTTGCAAGAGAAGGCCTTAAATGCTCTAGAAAGAATGTTCCGGCTGCTGGAGTTTAAACAGAAGTTTGGAGGCTCCGCTCAGATGCCTTTAGTCGACATAACTCAGCGTGGAAGCGGTAGTGTAAAATCTATGGCAGCCAGAATACTTGCTCACTTGAACGTGCTTCACGATCAGTCTTCTTATTTCTGAAGGAGCTTCATAGATTCAGCTACGAGTCATTGATTTGAAGGTCAAGCATAAACTCACCCTTGTGCTTAAACTTTGCAACGATTACTAAACACGGGGACTGGCCATGTAAAGCTAGACAAGAGAGAGCCCTTCATATTTTTATAAGAAGGTGCAGCATGGTTCTCTGTCCAGTATGCCCATCATCTGGTTTTTGGCGACATGGGATCGGAGGGACGCAATTGAATTTGTCTTGACACGGAGTAGCAGCTTCGAGACTGAAACTGACAATTTAAATTGTGCTGCTCTTACATAGAAATGAGGTGTCGCAGGAACTTGGTTTCCGCTTGTATATTTGAAGCTTGATTTGTACGTTGGTGTAAGGAGAAGAGATCATTGCAAAGCCACCAGTGGTAGCCTGGTAAGGAAAGCTGAGATCATTTTTCGACCAAAATTAAATTCTTTTTCTACTATAGGATGTGGATTCTTTGTGCATACATAGGAAACGTTCAAAAAATTCACGATAAATTTTTCGAGTAAGTTGTGTCGTTTATATCCTTTCATATGAATCATATTCTCTTTTAATTCAAACTTCCAGTTCTATTTTCATTAAGCAATGAATTTGTTTTCCTACTGATCATAACCTTAGATTGTATCATGCTGTCTTCTCTTTCTTTCTTCTCAATTTTCTCCTCCCTATTAACTTAAGAACCTCATCGACGAGTATCACCGGTGCGGAGATCAAAATTATGAGGAGCCACTCGTTCGGACTCAATGGAACAACACTGAACACGTCTGTGAGAAACGGACATGGCAACCAGAAGCAGCTCCGAGTTGGTTTCTTCATTATATGAATGTCAGCTGGGTTAAAACCGAGAGCTGTTGCGGGGGGGTCCATCGGTAGCCAGATTTACTCACAGAAGCTGCACAGGTATCATGCATTCGGGTATTCCCAACTCAGCAGTCAGTTATGGATATGACCTCTCCGACATTTGAAGATATCATGTACCTGCAAATGGACGGTGAAATAGGGAGGATGATGAACAAAGAGATGTACCGGATAAAAGCTTTCCTGATAGTGTAAATGGCCCGGCCTTCTGCGACAGCGGAAGCATTAGTACTGAGATTATCATCTGCCAAAACCATATCCGAAGCTTCTTCCGCAACCTGAGGTATGTAGCATGAAGGCTTAGAGTCATACGGCAAGGCCCAAAGTTGATAGCGGCTTATATATGCTCCACTCCCGTCACCAATGTTTCATGTGGGCAACAATGGCTGCCCCGTGCGCCTAGGCCCGCCTCGTTTTGTCTGCCTTTTTTCTCTTTTTTTTTTTTTGTATGTGCGTGCGCGCTGGGCTCCCCTCATTTTGCATGCACGGAACACGCCACATTTTGTGTGCCAGAAGCCTGGCTAGTTTTATGACAGAAGCTCGTCTCGTTTTTGTGAGCGGAGTCTGCCTCATTTTTCGTGCACCGAGATTGTCTCGTCTAGCGTGACAGAAGCTCGTCTCGTTTTTGTGAGTGGAGCCTGCCTCATTTTTAGTGCGCCCAGATTTGCTTTGTTTTGCATGCGTGGAGTTCGTCTCATTTTGCATGTCGCATTTTTCGTGCATCGAGCCTTCCTCGTTTTGCGTGCACAAAGCCAACCTCGTTTTTCGAGCACCTGAGTTCACCTCATTCTGTGTGCGGAGTCCGTCTCGTTTTACATGTTTTTTATGCACCAAGCCAACCTTGTTTTACGAGCCTGAAGCTTGCCTCGTTTTATGTGCATTCGAGTTTGCCTCATTTTGCATGCACGAAGACTACCTCGTTTTACGTGCACAAAGATTGCATCTTTTTGCACCCACTAAGCAGGGCGTTAGAGAAATATTTTACGTGGGAGTTAACGAAAATGTTGCCAGACCTTTGGATGTGATCCTAATGTTTATTAGGTCCCTAAACTAATTTTGTATTGATTTTTAAAATTCAAAATAGAAAAAATAATAAAAATTAGTAGTGGGGCCCCAAAGAGATTTGTAGGTGTAAAAAATCTTGGGAATGTCCTAAATTAATTGTATTAAAGGTGTGATGCAACTAGAATGACTCAAATTTTCAATTATATTGAATCTTGTAAAAGTCCTTAAAATTCATTAGAAAACATGGATAACTCATAGTTGTTGTGAATTTTTTTTTTCAATTTTTAGTTTTAGGAAATATTTTGCATATGAGTTAACGAAAATGTTGCAAAACCTTTGGATGTAAGCCTACCGTTTATTAGGTCACAGAAGTATTTTTTATTGATTTTTAAAGTTGAACAAATAGAAAAATAATATAAACTAATAGCGAGGCCCCCAAAGCGATTTGTAGATGTCGAAAATCTTTGGAACGTCCTAAATTAATTTTACAAAACATGTGGTGAGACTAGAATAACTCAAAATTTGGCTTATAATGAATCTTAAAAAATTCTCAAAACTGCTTGTTAAAAAAAAATCGAAATTTTTAGTTTTAAGTAATATTTTGCGTGGGAATTAATGAAAATTCTGCAAGACCCTTGGATTTGATTTTATCCTTTATTAGATCCCAAAACTATTTTTCATTGATTTTTATAAGTTGAAAACTAGAAAAAAATATAATGAAAACTAATAGCGGAGCCCCCAAAGAGATTTGTAGCTGTCCAAAATCTTGGGAATGTCCTAAATTAATTTTAGGAACCATGTGGTACAAGTAGAATGACTCTAACTTTGGCTTATAACGAATGTTGTAAAAGTTCTCAAAATCAATAGAAAACTGTGGGAACTCACAGTTTATGTGAAAAAAATTGAAATTTTTAGATGTAGGAAATATTTTGCGTCGGAGTTAAGGAAAATATTGCAAGACCTTTGGATGTGATCTTACTGTTTATTAAGTTCCGAAGTAGTGATAAAAAATATTCTGATATTTGTCTAGAATCTTATGGAATCGAGTTGATGAAAGTGAAATTCATTCTCAACGTAAATCTAATATATCCAAGTAATTACGAGTATTCTTCTTAAAAAAAAAAAAAAAGTGATTTCGTGCATTTGATCATGAGTACAAAATCCTGTGTTTCATTTTCACATACTCTAATATTTATTTCTCTTTAATGATTTATATACGGTTTATAGCCGATTTAGTTTGTCCAGCATATCAATCTTATAAGTCAAAAGGCTAACGTTTGGGATAGGGGTCCAAAGGGTAGAGTTACTGCTGAACCACCAAAAGTAATTTGTGTGGCATTTGCGCTAGAAAATTTCGTGTAACTAAAGACGTCACATGACAAATATCTATAGAACCATTGGTGCAACAAACGACAAACATACATGTGTATTAGTTGCAAAAAGAGAATCTCTCCATTTGCATGTGATGGAAGAACTGCTCAGAATGCAACGAAGCTTCCTCTGAGTGACCGAGTCATGTCCCTCAAATGGGGGACCGATTGCGTTTTCGTGATAGAAAACCAAATCAAGTGTTGCAACTCATACGCATAGCATTTCGACTTTCCAAAAACTGAACTAAATATTAACCAAATCCAAACATTTCTCCATACGGGGGGATAAATTACAGATGCGAGAAGGGTCAAGACAATGTGTTCCAGCAGAAACCTAGCCACATTCTTAATTATTTCCAACCCTAGAGAGCACAACTTGAACGCGATAACGACAGCAAATTTTGGAATCCAAATACCTATTTAATCACCAAGCCCGCAACCTAATAGGAACCCTTTTATTTGCTTATTCTTATTTTCACTCAATTACTCTCCACTCCTCTCATACATAGACCTCAAGTACCTAAAAGCATAAAAAATTTATAGGGCAAACCCAAGCCGTTATACCCTTTTTTATATACTGTTTTAGGGATGTGTTAGCATTCACCACTGGCTAGATCAGTCTAATTGTACTCTTTTCGTGGATTTGAGTTCTTTGATCTTCGGGATTATCCTAAAGTCTCATATGCCCCGAGCCTTGCAAAACAGTTAGAATTGTACTAACCTATGCGGTATCTCTCAGATAGCTGACCTTAAATATACGTCCTATTAACCCCTAAATTTCAGTTATAACATCACATCCAAACCTCTACACCACAAAGTCCTCAAATTGAATCCTCCAGAGAAATACTATTTACTATATTCCAGAACTCTACTAACCACCATGCCAATTCTGAGCCCTTCACCATTCCTTTTCCCGCTAGACACTACTACATTCCTCATACAGCCAGATTAACCATGCAATCCCATACCCCTTAAAGGCTCCTAACCTGTCCCCTAGACCCTTGCCGCCGACCAAGGCCAGTAGCGCGAGAAGAAAGCTCGGAAGTTCATTGCAATTCAAGGTTCGCCGTCGCTGGGGATATTTCTAGCGTGTTTGCCTCTTTGTCTTTTCTTGATAGGTTACTATGCTTCTTAAATATCCATACTCTTCTTTTTGTTCTCTGTAGCGACGTCTCATTGACAGGAAACTAAAACCCCCCCTTGGCTGTATCATGACGACTGGGGCCAGTTCTCGTGAATACTAAATGTTATCATCCTTGCGTCTTCATAATGAATAATTGCTGGATTACTTCTAATTGCCGTGCTTATAAAGTTGTGAATTCACATTATACTTACTGTTGTGGATTAATTATTGGTGATATGGTTGGGTTCGAGAGTAGCACGCTTAATTAATCATGCATAAATTGAGGATGGCTAGACGGAATATAAGGACACAATGTTCACCTTAATCGTATGGAATTATATTAACAAAGAATAGTTACAAGGTTAGGATGATCTCTCCAAGTGGCCCGCTTAAAGCTAAATTCTTAGGTAACCATACAGTTTCACTAGCGGACTTTTGGATCATATTCTCCCATTAAGGACTATCACCAATAACAAGTGTCTTCCGGTCAATGTTATGTTTTCATAGAACTTACACTGCTCCTTACTAACTCTCGCTGCTCTGTATCCCCTTCTATTATTTTCGCATAATCATGTAGGGGAGTTTGTGGGGGAATGTTGTTGGGCTATGTTGCGTGCCGTATGCATCATTGCTAATCAATCAAGAAATCGCTAAGGCACAATCTCGTGACATCTGGTGATAATCCCTCTATAGCGGAACGCCCTTTCTCTAATTCATCCTTGGAACTCTTTCATTCTCTCCCAGGAGCGTACTATCCACAGGGGGACATCTGAGCATTCCTGTCCTTAGGATGTGCTCTTACTTGAATGACCAGCAATTGGAAAATCGGATTTCAGTATGCGATTAAAGTTTTTGCTTAACATGTGTGAGATGAACCCCTTACAGACCTCAGCCTTCTATTCACTTAATTTAAAATCAAATTCCTTCATTTACAATCTGTTCTAATTACAAAGTTGTTGTTTTTAAATTCGGCCAGAACACCAATCCCCCTTTGTTTTAAGTGTCAAATTGGTTAGGTAAGTGTTTTAACTTTTAGTGTTTTAAGTGTTTTGATTCGCAATGTTAAATACTCCAAGATTCGTCAAAAGAGTTTAACCATCCGATTATAAGAAAGTTAGTTATGCCTCAAATCTGAGTGTTCCAAAGCATCTGGCGCAACAGATGTGTAGTTCTTTTTTTAAGGCGGAGTTTATAGCTTCTTGAGTTGTTTCGGCTGCTGCCTGTTTGAGTCTTTTGGTTTGTTGGTGTTTTAAAGTTTAGTTTTGCATTCTTTGAGTCTATTTTAGTGTTTAAACTTGTTTTTTACGTTTTTTGAATATGTCCATGAGTTATTGTGTTTCGAACACTTCCGCTCTACAACTATATGCCCCCAAAGTTGTGTCACTCTTAGAACACGGGATACCTTCTGACATGAAGCTACACTTACCATACTTGCCCACAACATTTTGATAAAGGGCTGGGCTACATTAGTGTTGCTTTTCTAGATACTAGTCTATCGATATCTACACCTTTCGGTGTGAACAGGATCAAAGTTTAAAAACAAAGTGGCCTCTGGTTTGCCAGCGATTTAGACCATCATGATGGCGACCACTTCACCCTCATATTAATTGGTTAATATGTTAAGAGGTTAAGAACTTAAGAGTCAAAGAGATTACTAGCAGAATTTATACTTTTGAATCTCTCACATTATCGAAAAAAAACTAGTATCGCATAACATGCAATGACTTGTCTGAGGGACGGGACAGACAGAAAAACTATAGGTATGATAAAAGTAGGAAAACATGTCCACCAATGAGAGCTTTATTAACTACAAAACACGTGAGCATAGTCAATCGAGCTTGCTTAGTTACGATTACCTTAGCCCATTCCAACAGACAGCGGTTGGGTGCGCCTGTCCCGTCAAGTACGACATTGATCTTTCTCCCGATATGGCTGGCTTGAATCTCTTCGGCTTTGATGTGTTATTACAACAGGGATTGGGTCACAGCTATGATCCTTCTCGGTGCAGAATTGTTAAGGCCTGTTCTCTTCATTCTTAATTGTAGCCTTCTCTCCTACTCATCTCAAAATAGAC